TATATATATATACATACATATATACATGACTTTAATAATTACTATAATACTTTAATGTCAATCTAATTTTAATAATTATCAATAATATAACAAAGATTATTCGGTAGTTTTTAAACTAGATAAGATCAAACAATTTGACGTCACATCAAACAAATACTGAGAACTATGTAAAGATGAAATCACATGATGCTCAATTTCTTGAACAATAAGCATGCTATGCTTGTTTTGATGCATACAGTCTGACGTTTGATAAATAACTATGAAATTAGCAATTATTTCTTTTGATTGCATGCAAGGAAATAAGCTATGAAGTAATCCATAATAAATATAAAATCATGTATATGCAGCATGCAGCGCTCAATGTATGAATGAATTCTAGCATACATCAGAACAGGCATAGTTGTATACATGCTATTATTCAAGAAATCCAGCATCCCGTGATTCCATCTTAAAAAAATATACAAAGAATTTCTAGGAAACATGAACAACTTATGGTCGACAAGATAAATAAATGATAAGAACAAAAGCCTGCAGCTTCTCTCTTAAAAATTCGTCTGCCACTTTCCAAATTTACATGAGACTTCATTGTGTTCATTTAAATATGAGAAGAACAGAAACACATGTCCGAATTATATATTCAATTTGTTAAAATTTTCAACTTACTTGCGTATGCCAACTGTACGTTGTTAGACGTTGCGTCAAAATGAACTTGCAATTTAGATAACACATGGGAATCGATATACGCTCGTTTGTTCAATTTCCACATCCTTATCATTCGGAATGCAAAAAAAAAGAGACATAATGGGAACTATTACATGTTTACTACATGTGACTACATGTCATTATTACGATAATGATTTGACAACTGTATGCAACATACTTACGAGAACTGTCACATTTCGTACCAGTTTTCCTCGGAGACAATTAATAGCGAAGTTGTACGCCTTATAAAACTTCATCTTATCATACTATCAAAGACAACGATAATTTTGCGACGCGTTATATTTAAACACTTAATTACAACGCGTCGCATAGCATCAATAGCGTATGCCAGCACTCGACGTCATACCATCGTATACTGTCATACCAGGAAACTGTTCATTGCCAATTCTTAGACTTCGGCGTTCACTGCTGAATTGCTATAAAAAATGCGGGTACGATAATGTATCATATAGAGGGGAAACTGTACGTAATGTTAGAATGTATTCTGTTATATTCAATGCAGTCTACAAGTACTGCAGATCTATAGTACATGTAACGTGAATTATAGATTTTCACTCGCAGTGAATAACGGGATGTACCCACAGCCTTGCATAGCCTTTAATTCCTACATATGTCATATGGTCGATGAAATACTATTAAATACTTCCCATTTATACCTGTAGTTTAAATAATTTCTAGTTTTAAAAATTAGGAAAAGATGAAGAACAAATTGAATGGTAAATTAATAATCTACGTTGATAGAAACGAATATTAGTAGATGCCCTCCATTTAAGATCTCTGTGAAGGTCTGTTTTCTGTGGCTGAACTGGTGTACACTTTTGGAACTTAAAATAAGATAGATATACGTTTAATGTTTGGCGAAAGCGAGAAAGAAAATTCTAATGCAATCTAGTTTATTCTCAGAAATAAAAAGGGATCTTTAGTGACATAAGTTGACACAAATGTCGTTTTTTTTTTGTATTTTATAAGTACAAAGACAGAATGATACTTGTGTCGATTTGTGTGAATGGAAGGCACTTAGTAACACAAATTGACATGAATATCATTTTATCTTTTCTTGACATTCCGAGTAATAAAATCTGCATTTTTTAACGTTTACGACGCTCACAGAATCATTTCATCCTTGTTATTTATTAAATGTTAAACAAAGATAAATAATATGCTCGCAAGCATTGTAAGCGTCAAATAAAGCGCACCCAAAGATAATATATAAATAAAAGAAGATAGAACGGAGCTATTTGTTGATTTGTATATATGAAATGGAAAGTACTTGTTAAAAATCATTAACCCTATATATAAATTTTTGTACTCAAAGTATTCCGAAAGCTCGGTGGTAATTGAAGAACGCTAATATTAGGTCTTTTTTATTGCTGCATTTTCTGAGTTAGAACACAGTGCAATAATGAAAGACCTTTTATTGGCTGCGTTTTGTTGCACGCATAATGCGCATAAGATATTTTATCCTTGTTGTTCGCAGTGTTAAACATGGATAAAACGATACATCTCAGAGACATGCCATCCCAACAAATGGATTATAATGAATTGAAATTTTTTTATCCAAATGCGTATTTTAAATAGCGAATACTTTTTTTTATTTAATTGAATTCAATTGAATTCAATTAGATTCAATTGGATGCAATTGAATTGAAAAACTGCATTTTCTATTCAAAATTTTGAATTGAATAATATTCACAATGTGTATTGTGCACAGAAAAAGCTAATATTATTTTTAGATTGAAAGGCATAGAGATATGCTGCATGCAATTCCTATAAATGAATAAAAATGCATTCAGGATTGAAAAGCATTCATTTTAACATTCGTGATTTAATATTTCTGAAAATCTGAATCCATTTCAATTTATTTCAATCCATTCTCGTTTGCTGGAGTCTGATGAAAAATATCCAAAAGACATCTTGAACTAGACATCTTTAAGACTTTTCCAAAAGACGCCTTTTACATGTTTTTCAAAAGATGTTTTCGAAAGATGTTAGAAAATTTTGGAGCATGTGTAACAATTTACATTATCAATTGCAAATTTTATTTATGTATAATATCGAGTATGACATGAATATAATACGTAATATAATACGTAATATAATACGTCTATAAAAATATTTGGATGTCAATTAATTTGGCATTCTAATATTTTATATTATATTATAGTCTACAACTACATAATTCTATCCGGAAACGCGTTGATAAGAGAAACAACATGAAACAGTAGTTGGAATTATCTGATAAATCGAATGTGAATGATATCATACTTGATATATATTTTCAATAACTATCTGTCACAATTAAATCGTTATTGAAAATAAAGTTAAGTATTATAATAACATTCACATATAGATTAATCAAGTAATTCCAATTTTATTAGATATTATCATTTTGTAGGAAATTTAATCTAAACATTGCTATACGTATTATTCAGATGATAGAATTGTAGTTGCTATAAGAGGTGAAAAGAAAGAGTATATTGGTTGGATTGAAACAGCAACAGATCCTTAAAATTCCCAAATTTGATAGCAATAATCTAGTACTCGTAGACAACAACAGCACATCTTTAGGTACAATAATACAGATGCCACACATACTGTGAACGAAAATGAAAGAACAAACTCACAGTAAAGAAGCAGATTATATTGAACTAATAACGATTACAGATTCGTGTAGTGTATTTATTTTGCCTACTATTATAATATATGTATTAAATATTTTATTATAATGTTAATATTGTACTTATTTAATATTTACCGTCAAACTTATAGTATGGAAGTGTATTATTCATGCATCTCTATATATCTTATTGTATATTAATATTTTAATAATAAAATTACTACATTCAAACTTATTTTTTGTTATATGCACTAGAGGTATGCTCCACTTAACACACCTTTGCGACGTACGTGTCATCATATCGTCTCATCCTTGTTTAATGTTTGATGACAAGAAGGATGAAATGGTATCGCATATGTATGTGTATATATGCTGTGATTTTGATACATAATTATATTGTTAGCAAGTGTAACTTTAGTTCAATTATCAGTCATGTGATGTGTATCACTTTGTATTTAAATGATAATTTAAATTAATTGTCAAAGTTATATTATGTCTGTGTTAATTGATTTATAATATTTTAATTCAGATTTTAGCAAATTGCATAACTTTAATTCTTCACTTTTAAATAGAATGTATTATCAAATTCGTCTTCATCGAAAAATTCGGAAATCAAATTAATAATGCAATATATAAGAATAAAATATAGATGAGCATTTCGGATTGTCTGTAGAGGTAGAGGAGTCTGATACTGGTGAAGAAGGTGTCCCTAATCTGGTAAATTAGAACAAATCAACATGGTTTAATCAAAATTCATCAAAATCTTTATTTAATAGTTTCAATATACAGGCTCAGATATAAAATAATACAAAACTATATTTCAGCATAGATCTGGTATGCTTTCATAATTCACCGATCATCACAAAAAAAAAGTCTGAAAAAACAGACTTGGATAGTATTCGTACGGATTCCATGAATACTATCCATTGTGTACAAAAAAAAACAATAGCAAATAGCAAATAAACTAATTAATCGACAAAATATTAACTATTTAGTTAATCTAGTTTATAAATCTGTACATACTAAGTTAATCTAGTTTATAAACCTAAATATTGTGCATATAAATCAATAATAACAGATAATACTAATAATATTATTGCTTGTGTTGCGACATTCACTGCCAATACTGAATACCTATACTATAGATCAACACTATAGCAGCAAATATGGGAACAAAGCCAATGTAAATAGTATTCTTAATTCTAATTGATAGAATTACTACTTACTAGAGGTGACATAGAAGAATATAATTTAATTGTCTGAATCAGAGCGCCATTTTAATTCACTATTGCATCTGATTAAGATATAGCTTTGTAATGTACATACATATAGATTATATAGAGAAAAATTAAGATAATACAAAGTGTCGAAGTGCAATAAAAAATTATTATGTGTAAGTATTCTTATTTGTGTGAATATTTAGTATCGAATCAAATCTAATCCTTTCTTGAAAACTTGATTTTGTGACTCTTTAGAGAATTTTTTTTGTGCAGGAAATGCTGTGTATTTGACTATAAAAATATATACAAAAAAGAGAAACACTAAAAAGAAGAAAATCTTTTGTTTCGTTCTTTTTCAATAAATTTTGAGATAAGAAATATGTGGATCACTAATGTGAGGTAAATAAATGGATATTCTTGACAGCCTATGAATTCATCAGTTATAACTTATATAGCTAAAATATTTTTTATAAGATGTTTCTTTTGTTTCATGATTTTATTATATTTTTTCCAGAAGTATTTTGACGTTTCTTCTTGGAAGAAAATTAGAAAGTGTGGGAAGAGAAAGCTTAAATTCGGTGCTTTCTATTTTTAATTATCTTGCACAGATATCTGCAAATGATCACATTTAAAAAAAAAGATAAAAAGATATAAAAAGATTCCTTTGTCTCTCTTTTGTAAATTGCATGATCATGTATAATATAAATGTCCAATCATATGAGCAAGTCTACATAAGTAAATCAGATTTATCTGCTACTTTGCTATAAAAAAAATCTATTATAAATTCATTATAAATTCAAAATATCAAATATTTTAATTATTTAAATCTAATTTTTTTAATTCTGTCTTATACGTTATATTTTTCTCAGCAATAAGATTTAATAATTTTTCCTTCTTTTGAACACTTTTTGGAATCCAAATTCAATTAATTGTATTCTAATTCTTTTAAAAAGTTTCTGCGCTTCCTTTCTTTCTCAATGCAAGAAATATGATCCAATATATATAAAAATGGTAAATTTGATGATAAATTTTCATCTTGATAAGCAGATTGCAAAACATGATATATATTTTTTTACATAATCTTTTTCACGAAATTGAAAATAGTTGGAATTGCGGATATCAAATGTTTTCGATTGAAATCCTTCCATTGATTTTCATGTAAAAATGTAATTAAAATAATAAATATCGGAAAAGAATTCATTGAAAGAATTTTATTTTGCAATATACTTAAAGATTGATAGCAAAAAGATTACCTCACAAAGATACTTTTCTTCTCTTAAATAATCATCATTAATATCCTGTATACATTTATTTCAAATTATTCTTAACTGTTGATTCTTTGGAAACTTAAAAAGATTAAAAAGATTCCTCTCTGAACTTGTGAGACATGATGAAGCAGCGCACTTACAAGTCATTAAAACTACAACAATAATAATAAACTTATTATTAAAAAAATGAAAACAACAATAAAACAAGAAAAATACAATAATTTTATTTAGGAAATACTTTTTTTTTTCTAGCAATTTAACCTTCTCTACCTTTTGCATCAATTGTCATC